ATCACATTTCCAAAAATATTTGAGCCTGTAAAAGTTTGTTTTATTACTGAATATGGGTGCTTGTTTGGTTTTATGTTGCAACAAAATCAGTATAAAGTTTTCTCAGAGCTGAACAAAAGACAAGTAGCCAAGTACATATCTGAGATAATAGCATTTCTCTGAAGCATTTCTATTTAGAGTGAATTAATGTTTTCAGTTATATTATACTTTTTAAATGCAAAGCACCACAGGAAGCCAACTCTCACAGACTCACTCACTCACATTTACCAGGCTGCAGATTTTCTGCAGGGAAGTGTTTTGTCAGATTACTATGCCAATATGTGCCATATGTAGAACAGGGAAGTCATAACAGCAGCCATTCAGATCCACAGATGTACACTAGTCCTGTCAGTGTTGCCTCCTACAGGCAAGGAAAGTAGAAACAACCATAGTTTCAACCAATTTTCTTTTCTTTGTGTGTGTGCTTGACATTTTAGCACTTTTAGTACATCCTAGCTAAAATAAAATAATTCAGCATCACATTTTTGTTCTAACCTCCAGTGGCTATTAAATCTTGGACCACTGGACATGGGGCTGTTAGCTATCTGTATAGTTACTCACCAGATAAACAGACATGTAAATTACTCACTGTAACTTTTCTTAAGGCAAATCAATTCTGGTAATTCTTCACCAGTGGATCGAGCACTTGCATAAGAGCACTGTGAATTCTCAAAACAAAATTAAAGTCTGAGTCTGAGCAGCTGCCCATTTCTGCTGTGGCAATATTCATCTTCAGAACACTGTAGTTGTACTGGGTATTCAATGGGATAGAACGTGATATCATGGGAGAAAAATGAAAAGAAATTCTGTTTTCCATACTTTGAATGTGCAGTTTTGCAAAAACCAGCTCTGGTATCTGTATTCCACAGTTTTTGTGGATTTGTTACTTTTTTGAGAAATGATGAGAATGGAAAGAGAAATGGCACCAAATTTTAAGGGTAAGTGGGCGAATGAACTCAAGAGAACAGACACTAGATGAACACTTTTGCTCTACCTGTGACTGGCTGGCTGGTTTTTAGTAATCTTATCAAAAGTGTTACATTTGGCTAGAAACCTAGCTAACAATAAATTCTGCATTGATTCATACAGAAGTGGAAAATTTCCTTTTAACTGTAAAGATGGTGTGATCTTCATGGTTGGGGTGTCTACATAGGCCTCGTGCTTATTAAAGCTGAGATAAGTTTATCAGCTCTCAGCTTCAGGGTGTTCGGGTTTGCCTGTGTACCTGTTTGAATCCAGAATGTGGACGTTCACCCCGACTGGCCAGCAGTCCTGGGAGAGTATGTATTTGAGGCCTATTCTCTCTCTCCTTTCCCCCACTACTGTGTGTTTTATGGGCTGTGTGCTGCAATGCAGTGACCTCCCTTTCACCCCGGTGCCACCCAGCCAGTGCAGGATTCAGGCGTGCACGGCCCCTGCCAAAACCCCACAGAACCACATCTGCAATCCATAAACGCCAGCCACTCTCGCTCTCTTACTCCCTCGCCCACACCACCTCAGACTCTTACATGCACTGTTTTTAACCCACTAACGTTTTATTTTAATGTCTAAATTCTATGCATGCCCCTTTTTGAATTCCTTTGAATGCTTCCCCCACCACTTCTGGTTTTATTCATGCCAAACATCTCTTCCCTTATCGCTCACTCCCTGACTGCCCCTTTTCTTTCCTTCTATTTCTTTATCTGCATCCAACGGAAAAATCTCTCACCCATTATATCTTCTGTGGGAGCCAACTAAGTGTGGTGGCAGTGAACTGGGAACCGCAAGGCATTACTGATCCCAAAAGCACTAACTCACCCGCGTCACGTCCCCTGTCAGGGTGGCCTGTGCCAAGCACACGCTGCACTTATGAGCTGGATTCAGCCGTACCACGTCGCAGTTGGACCCCTAATGGTTAAATGTTTATCTCTTTCAAATTGATAGTGTCAGGGGAAAATGCAGAAACACATCTAAATTCAGTTCCATTTTTTGTACATGTGTTACTTTGGGAGCATTTTCCATCATGGGGGTATTGAATTCTCCCTCCTCTCACCATGAACTTCTGGCTTGCAGAGCCCACCCCTCCCCTCAGCCTCAACAGGATGTGTTCAACATATCACTGTTACTGTGCCCTTGGCTTAATACATGCACAAAAAAAAGTAAAGTAGGAAATAAATTGAGTGTTACCACAAAACTGTCCAGAACGTGCACCCCGTGGGTAACAGAAGAATTCGTCTTTCTCGATTGTATTATCTTTTTTTCTTCAACTTTTCCCTCTGTAATCAAATAAAAATGCACAGAGTGAACTTGTGCTCCCCTCTGTTTCTTGGATCATGTTCTCTCCATCCCAAAGTCTTCACCTTCTGGTTTCCCAGACATATTGGCATGCCTCAGTGGTGCAGTCCCAACAGAGCCCACAGATGAATTATGTTGCTGCAAGCATGCAAGAGCTTAGTTTTATGATAAATATTGGAATTCATAAATCAGTGTTTTCCTAAGTAAGAAAGCACTGGGCGGGGAAGGACACATAACTGCAGAGCATTTCAACTTCAGTTTGAAAACAACAGAGAGGTCATGAGTGTCTGTGTGTCGACTAGAGCTGAAAAGGAGGCTTCAGTTCAAGGCAAGACCACCATGGAGAGAAAGCACAATGTCTGAGAAGGAGGCAAAGTACTGTTAGTACTTCTACTTTAAGATGTTCACATAATTTTAGATTAGATCAGGGACTCTTGGGGTGCAAGTACCAAGTAGTAAGACTGTCTTTGGACAGTTTGTTGCTCCCTGGCCTTCTCACTAATATAGTGTTAGTGGTTCCATGTATCTTAAGATGGTTGCAAATTGAATCTTAAATTTTAATGTTCTATGTTGTCTCATTTCAAGGTGTTCATTCTGAGACAGGTGATTAGTGGGGCCTGCTAATACAGTTTTTGATTCAGTGGGGTTGTTATTGGTTTCTGCTGGCTGACAGTCTTGGTAAAACAGTGACAGTGGTTGGACAACTGAGCGGGCCTTGCTCTCATGTGATTGCCTACCAAGACAGTTGACCCAGCCACTGCATAACCTGAGCAAATATAATGAAGATATTATATCTGCTCTTTGCCTGGGCAAGGACAGGGTTCAGAGATGCTTTATATCAAAGTCAGAGTGGAGGGACTTTCTCATGTGTGCATGCTATGAAGTTGCAAATTATCAGCGTATAAGCATCCTTCCTGCTATTTCGAAGGTTGCTGAGAGATGGGTAAGCAGATATGTTGAGGGTCACCTCGTCTCTCATGGCTCAACCCGCCTCGTTTGAGTTTAGGTTTTGAGTAGCAAATATATGACTCCTTCATTTCTGTCTGCTAGAGGGTATTATATTAATTTAATAAAGTTCTAAAGTTGTATAATAACTGATAATTTGAATCAAATTAGGTTAATAAAGTTTTTCCATCCTTTCCAAGTTGGGTTCAAGGTTACTGACACAGCAAACTGTTATTTCTTGGAATACCTTGTCAAAATTAAGGGTGGTGTTGTTAGGACAATGTTTTTCATTTTGAAGAAGACATTTGATAGTGAATCATGAAATTTTGTCTAAATTGTTTGCTTTAAATGTTTCAAATCAAATGTTTATTTGAATAAAATTTTATTTGA